CGCCGAGCGCCAATAGGATACCAACTCTTGTTCTTCGTTGATGATGATGAGAGACAATTTCAGCATTGTCAATTATGAACTATTGTTGTGTTCTTATTTGGTATAACTCGTGATGCCATTCTGCTTATGGTTCGAGGTCATGGCTATTTGGTCACTCGTGTATGATGCTGTTTGAGTTCTGGAATTCGCTATTGCTCATCTTCCTTGCAACTGGATATTGTGGGTAGTGATTCGGATGGTCCCTCCTTTGTGATTAGAATCCCTGGTTACCTGCGCACTTACCCTGTCTTTAACGCTTCCAAGCTTGCACCTTTCGCTGAGACTGACAAGTTCCCATCAACGAGATCAATGTTGCCCACAACCATGGATGGCCACGCGGACGTTGACGACATCCTGGAACATAGAGATCTGCACGTTCCGAAGCCTATGGACAGGGGAAGACCTTCAAAACCTACAAGGGAGTACAAGGTCAGATTCAGCCATCATGCGGACCCAAAGGAAGACCGTTGGTTTGCAAAAGAAGAGCCTGTCAAGACAGCACTTCAGGTCGTTGCAGAGTATGAAGGAAAGATGAGGGGGAAAGCACATGCATAGAAGCATCTCAGCGGACATTCGAAACTAAGTGGGATGGAGTGCGAGTAATGAGCCCTCACAAAAGTTGCTAGGCCACGGCCGGCCACTTCCCAAGGGGCCCCCAGCAAGCACGGTGCCTGCCCTAAAAAAAGGCACGCCTGAATTCTACATGGCGGGCCATCTTTGCAATTTCTGCACCGTTGCACGCCAGACAGTTACCACGAGCCAGTTGGTTACTAAGGCCCTGCTTGTGAGAATCAGAATCTTTGAGGAATGGTCTCTGTTCCTCTGTGCTTGGACGTGGAAGCCGGCCTCTCAGCCTATCAGGAAGCAAGGAACACGTCACAGGCAGAGCGGTGCACACCTTACATCTGTGATCCCAGGCAAGTGTCTGAATGGGCCTGGGCACAAACACTTTGGGCCAACGTGAAGCTAATGGGTCCCTGCACGCCAGGCCCAGCCCAGTCAGAGTCCAGGCTCACTTTCCATATAGGAAAGTGAGCGCCCAGCCAAAATCACAATCTGGCTTTGCAAGTCTGGCTGCCATGCTGCTGCATGGTAGACCTGACGGGTTGCTTGGGCACCAGCAGGCCAGGGCCCACGCAGGCGCAAGAGGTGATGGGGGCGCTGCGGTGGCAGCAGGCGCACGGCGGCCCTAGCCGGGCTTCTGAGCACATGCTAGTTTGGTGATGGTGGTATTGAGGACGAGGACACACGTGTGGGAGAGGAGTAGGTAAGACAGAGAGGAGAGAAAGACACATACCTACTGTCTGCTGGCAGTCTACATTGGTGAGACCATCACGTAATTGGTCTTCAGCAAGAAGTGACTCCTGTTGCATGAACGTAATGTAGGCTAGATAGGTTGAGTAGGACAGGCTGGGGGCTGAGCACCAATCTGAAAGAACGACATTGGATACTGTGCTGATTTGGCGGAGAGAGTGCCGACATTGACATTTGAGTTCATTGCATTGTGCAAGGAATATGAGCAAGAGTGATAGACAAAAATCCAAGTTGCAAAATCACGAAGAAGCTCAGATAATCATGAACCAAGCAAAGAGTGTCATCCATCAAGATACCGTCCAAATAAGAGCAGTACAATGAACTCAAATGTCAATGTTGCCACTCTTGTCACACCAACACTGTATCCAATGTCGCACTTTCTGTTTGGCGCCCAGCGCCCAGCCTATCCTAGTGGGCCTATCTAGCCTATCTACGTTCTTGCAACTGGATCACTCTGAAGTCGAAGACCAATGTATGTGACGTCAACACCAATGCCGACCACCAGCATACAACATGTAAGTTCTCTCCACCCCTCATCACCCCTGGTCTTCCCACAGCATGCACCTCCTACCCGAAGACCACCTTCCCCATCACCAGCCTTGCGCCCCTGCAGCCCGACTATGTTGCTGTGCGCCCGCTGCCCTTGCAGCGCCCCTCACCTCTGCGCCCGTGCACGCGTCCAACCCGCAGGCCCATGCAGATGCTAGCGCAGCAACGCAGCTGCGTGTCCGCATTGCCTGCCAAGGCCAGAATGCCCTTGCCAGGGGCTCACACTTTCCAATATGGAAAGCGTGTCACTGCTGGCTGTCCTCGCCAGGCGTGTCAGGGGGAACACTAGCTTCAGTTGGTCCCAGCACCCAGGCCCAGTTTCCAAAACTGGACGGGGCCTCGTGCAGTTACACATTCAGGCAGCCACCCGGCCTCCAGGTGTTTGTAGCATTCTCATTGGCTCACAGCACGTGTGACGACAATGCTGCTTCCCCATCCGCCCGTAACCAGTCCGTGATGTGTCGGCCTCACACAGCGTGTGCCCAGGGCGCAACCTCCTGAGCCCTGGGCTCAACTGTACAGCGCAGCCCTTTGCTTTTGGAAAGAGCCTGGAGGCTTACGTTGTTCTGTAACCAACTGGCGTGCTGCAATAGAACGAGTACCCACATATGGAAAAATTGTCAAGAACAGGCCTCACGTGGGATTGAGGCCCGCCTTCACTTCGGGCGGGCACAAGGCTTGCTAAGGGCCACAGCCCAGAACACTCTGTGCGCCCATTCCTCGCATTCCATCCCCCTTTGCTTTGAAAGTCTGTTGAGATGCTTCTGCGCAGGTGCCTTCCCCTTTAGTCTCCGTCCGTACTCGGCCACGATCTGAGGTGCTGTCTTGACAAGCTCCTGTCAACGATCTTCTTTTGGATCTGTATGGGCTCAACTGTACAGCGCAGCCTTTGCTTTTGGAAAGAGCCTGGAGGCTCACCTTGTTCTGTAACCAACTGGCGTGCTGCAGTAGTCCGAGTACCCACATATGGAAAAATTGTCAAAACAGGCCTCACGTGGAATTGAGGCCCGCCTTCACTTAGGGCGGGCACAAGGCTTGGTAAGGGCCACAGCCCAGAACACTCTGCCAGGCCCATTCCTCGCATTCCATCCCCCTTTGCTTTGAAAGTCTGTTGAGATGCTTCTGCGCAGGTGCCTTCCCCTTTAGTCTTTGTCTGTACTCAGCCACGATCTGAGGTGCTGTCTTGACAAGCTCCTGTCAACGATCTTCTTTTGGATCTGTATGATGCCTAAACCTGACCCGGTACTCCCTCATAGGTTTGGGCGGTCTTCCTTTGCCAGCACGCTTGGGAACATGCAAGCCTCTGTGTTCCAGAATATCGTCGACGTCCACGTGGCCATCCATGGTTGTGGGCAGCATTTACCTTCTTGATGAAAACATATCTGTCTCAGCAAAAGGTGTTTAAGCTTTGAAGTGTGAAACACAGGGTACGTGCGCAGATGTCAAGGGATTCTAACGACATACAAGGGTCCATCCAAATTACTACTCTACAAAAATAGATTTAAATCCCGCTTATCACCAAATTGCGATTAGACCACAGGACCAACACAAAACCGCATTTCAGACCAGGTACGGTCTGTACAAGTTTGTGGTGATGCCCTTTGGACTTTGCAATGCGTCGGGCACATTCCAGCACTCCACGAATAGGATATTTCATGACTACTTGGATAAGTTCATTGTCATGTACCTCAACGACATACTTATCTTCAGTAGAACAGTCGAGGAACATGCCTAGCATTTAGACAAAGTACTTTCACTCCTGCGACAGCACAAGTACGAAATCAATTTAGAGAAATGTGAGTTGTGAGTTCGGTCGCACTAAAATCTTGTACTTGGGTCAGGACATATCGGCGGAAGGGATGAGGTCCGAAGATGCCAAGGTGGCTAGCATTCCTGACTGGCCATTACCCCAATCTGTGACTGAGGTCAGATCTTTCTTAGGGATGTGTGGCTACTACCGCAATTTCATGAAAAATTACAGTACAGTGGCCTCCCCTTTAACTGCTCTAACACGCCTTGACACGCCATGTGGACAGACACATGTGAGGCTGCTTTCAAAAGCTCACACATCAGGAGATTCTCAGGGTCCCCAATCCTCAGTGGTCATTCATTGTGACCATTGACGCAAGCCAATACATCATTGGCGCAATGCTGGCCCAGCAGGAAGGGAAGAAGTTGACGCCCGTAGAGTACATGCGCAGGAAGATGCCATCATAGAAATTCGCAAAATCCACCTGGGAAAGGGAACTCTACGCCATTTACAAATCCCTTGTCCACTGGAGACACTATCTGTTGGGAAGGTGCTTCTACTTGAGAACTGACCATCAGACACTCAAGTGGATCATGACACAATTCTCTACAACACACTCGCCAAAGGTTAACAGGGACCCCCACTATTCAGCCCCAAGGTAACACCCCCCACCCTGAAAAGTGCATTGGAGATCATTTTTTTCAGTTTTTTTTTTGTTTTTTTCTTTGCCTGTTTTATTTTTGGCTAAGGTCTGTGTGTGCCAAGTTTGGTGTTCGTTGGGGTCTTGGAGTTCACTGTTTTGGCCAGCCCTGAAAAATCCTGAAAATCCTGAAAATCCTGAAAACTGAAAAGAGTGAATTTTGCATGCAAACGCACTTTTGCCTTGGGGTTTAAGGTCCCTTTGATCATTTTTTTTTTTAATTTTTTTTTGCTGTTGGTTTATTTGGTGTCTACTCTATGGACTGGTGACAAGTCTGGCGTAAAAGGTATGGGACGTTTGTTATAATGACCCTGAAAAAATCCTGAAATTTTAGGGTTATGTTAACCTCTTCTCGACGCACTCAAACGCTGGACTGAAGTCATTGATCAGTATGACTTTAAAGTTAGACTATATGAAGAGAGAGTACAACAAGGTTGTTGATGCGCTATCCCGTAGGGAAGACTACCTAGGTCCGCTAATAACTGAGTTTGGTTTATCTCACGATGTAACACGGTCTACGGCGGAAGCCTACAAGGAAGACCCCATCACGATCGACATCATGCGCAAACTTGGCCCGAGACAAGGCCACATCAGATGAGTTTGTGATGGTGGATGGATTACTCTTTCTTGAAAAGGTCCCTTCAAAAGATTAGTTGTTCCATCCAGTGAGATTTTGCGTAGTTTGTTTCTAGGTGAATGTCATGATGCAACTGGGCATTTCGGACACAAGAAGACTAGTGCTAACTTAGTACAGCGTATCTGGTGGCCTAATATGCTTGACAATGTGAAGAAGTACGTACAAACTTGTCAAGTCTGTCAGCGGGACAAGCCACGTACTCTAGCACCGCTTGGGTTACTCGAGGCCTTGCCCATTCTTGCAGGTCCAGGAGATAAGTGTCTCCATGTATTTCATGGATACCCTCGTGACTAGCAAGAGTTGTAAGAGGCACATCTTCGTCATAGTGAACAGGTATGCTAGACTAATAGCCGTGCCGGAGAGCAAGGACTGAAGATGTCATCAAGTTATTCATAGATAACTGGGTGCGTGATTTTGGACTACCTAAGACCATCATTAGTGACAAAGATGTCCGTTTCACAAGCAAAATGTGGAAGAAGGCTGCTGAACAGAAGGACCATGGTGCAGCATCTGCTGAGGCATTACATCAAGCCCAGGCAATATGACTGAGAGAAACTTCTTCGCATCACCAGTCTGTACAATAACGTTGTACACAGCACCACTGCCGTCAGTCCCAACCAGCTGCATTTGGGATGGAAGCCTAAATCTGCTCTGGACTTCCTCCGACCTGAAAACCGACCGACTGCAACTCCTGGAACCATTGAATTTGGTATCCAGTACGAGGAATTGTTGCAGCAGGCTGTCTAACACATCAGGAAATCTCAAGAGGCAATGATTGCCTCTGAGAACAAGCACAGGCGACAGTCCACATTTCAGGTAGGGAAACGAGTCTGGGTAAAGGCTAGTGAACTGGGCCAGGAATTCCGAATCTCTCGAAAGCTAATGCCACAGTACTTCGGTGCTTGGGGAAGTCCTGGATATTGTGGGTAGTAATTTGGATGGACCCTCGTATGTCATTAGAATCCTTGGACATCTGCGCACTTACCTTGTGTTTCACACTTCAAAGCTTGCACCTTTCCCTGAGACAGATCTGTTCCCATTAAAAAGGTCAATGCTGCCCCAAACCATGGATGGCCACGTGAAGATCGACAATATTCTGGAGCACAGAGACTTCCCTGTTCCCAAACCTTCTGGCAGAGGAAGACCGCCCAAATCTACGAGGGAGTACCGGGTCAGGTTCAGGCATCATCCAGATCCAGAAGAAGATCATTGGCTCACAAGCCAGGATCTTGTCAGGACAGCACCTCAGATCGTGGCTGGGTACGAACAAAGACGGCACCTGCGTAGAAGCATCTCAGCAGACTTCCGAAGCTAAGGGGGATGGAATGCGAGAAATGAGCCTCGCAGAGCCCTTATCAGACATACAAGTCTTCTGGGCTGTGGCCCCTAACAACCCTCGTGCCCGCCCTAAGTGAAGGCGGGCCTGAATATCCACGTGAGGCCTGTTCTCGACAATTTTTCCATATGTGGGTACTCGAACAGTTGCACCACGCCAGTTAGTTACAGAACAACATGAACCTCCGGGCTCTTTCCGAAAGCAAAGCGCTGCGCTGTACAGTTGAGCCCAGGGCTCAGGCGGTTGCGCCCCGGGCACACGCTGTGTGAGGCCGACACATGACAGACTGGTTACGGGCGAATGAGGAAGCAGCATTGTCGTCACACATGTGCCGCGAGCCCATGAGAATGCTGCAAACACTTGGAGGCCGGGTGGCTGCCTGAACGTGGGTACTCAGGCCCGCCTTCACTTAGGGCGGGCACAAGGCTTGCTAGGGCTCATTCCTCGCAATTGCTCTTATTTGGCTGGTATATCAGTGCATTGTGCTTTCTGCTTGGCACACGACCGTCTGGACTACAGCGTAATTTTGCAATTTGGTTTTCTGTCTATCGCTCTGTCACTAGTATTCCTTGCACTCAGATGATGCTTCTGAAAGCAAGGAGATGCTAACAAAAAAGCACACACTTGGAAAGGAGCTTGGAGCTACATCATGAGGAAGCCTCAAGAGGAGGTTTAGGTCATATCAATCAGAGTCGTCAATTGCCCTCCAGATGAACTGGGTTATGAAACTCCTGCACCAACAGGACCTCCCCTGAAAAAAGGAAGGCATTGTATAGTATCAGAAAAAAAACTATAACCACTAGCAGTTTATCCGAAAACTACCCCTGTCAAAACTCTGGTCAATATGGAAGGAGCGTCCTGCTCCATAGCCACAGAGAGTGGCTTGCGAACACGGGTAGGTCCAGGAGGAACCGCAGCAAAACCTGGTACTCGAAAACGTAACCCCTATTGGGCGTCCACTCCACCACGTGCAGCAAAACCGCTCCCTTGGGAAGTGTGGCGCACCAAGAACCAAAGAAGTACTCAGACAACCCCTATTTTGTAACCCAGGGATCACTGACGCAGCAGGAAATCCAAAGGTCTCTGGAAGGTACAACACCTGTGGTCAGAAGAAGAGCACAAGGGACAGACGGCAGAACAGGACCGCTGAACACCACCACTAAAAGGTAGGTTGTCACTTCCTACCAGACAACCTCACAGCAATGCTGAATAGTTCATTCCCCCAATCTTGGACAGAGCTACTGGGGGAAGATTTCCCATGGGAACCAGGAGACTGGGTGTTCTCAATTTGCAGGAGCATTATCTCAGGAAGCTGCAGAGCCAGGAAAATACGCGTTATGGCCTGCAAACCCTGTACATATCATTCACGACCCTGGCGAGATATTGAAGGCCCAGAGCTCCCCCCCAAGGCATATTGTGCTGGTGTCAGAAATCCCCTAGGGCCCTAGGGGCATATTTTTCTGGGAATAGCTTGCAAGTTCTTTTCTGTGACTCTAGCAGAACTACAGCAGAAATCCATCAGGGACCTAGGGGCATATTTTTGGGGGAATAGCTTGCAAGTTCTTTTCTGTAACTATAGCAGCACTACCGTCTTCACCTGAATAGAACGACCCATCATTAAATCTGCATTTCGGGCAAGGTTCAGCTCGGATACAGCCATAATGACCGGGCGCTCTATTCAGGTGGTGAAGATGGTAGAGAACAGAGACCCCAAGGGAAAATGACTATATACAACCCTACAGCTCACAGTGGCCAAGGTGGGTTGCTCACACTATTGCCTATGCGGTCCTCCCCCTTGAAGAAAACGGAAATGCTCAGATCAGACAACCTAACCGGAGATATAATTCCCTGCCTTTGGCGGGTGGGAAAATAGCGTGCCTCCGGTGGGCCTCTGCCTTTTTCGGAGGCCGAAACGAAACGACGGCTGCCGATCAGATTTATCAATGGCAGCCGCCGTCGGGCCCGGCCTCCGAAACTTAGGGAGTTTGGGAAAACGTCCACTTTTCCCTATTTTCCCACGCGCCAAAGGTACTAGTGCTTTAACATTCAGAACAGACAACCTAACCAAAAAGATATAATTCAGTGCCTGTTAACATTCACTGAAGCGACGTGGTTCCGGGACAGAGTTAATCAGCTTCAGGTATCCGTTTTTACCTGGCGCCCCCTGCAGGGATGACAGTATCGAACAAGAAGTTCTTAGTAACAACCTACTTACGAGCCCCACTTTTCCACTTATCACATGGCTCCAGACCAGGAGTAACATCCTGGCGTTTCTTTTGCTGTAGGAATACTACTGGGAAGTTGGTGAGCTTATCATGAGCTAGGTTGGGGTGGTTGGTGGTTCTGGAATCCCGTAGAAAATGTATGTTTGATGCCTTGAGCTACAGTTTGTACTCATTCAGTCATGGTTTTTGGGATCCCGTAGAAAATGAAACAGAGAAAAGAGAAAGAAAATTCAGCAAGCACACATACAGACAGCACCAAACCATATTCCACACAGAAAACAAGCAATCACATCCTCCATAAAAGGGTCGAAAACTGCTTCCTTCCTCAGTCTCAAAATATTGTGGCAAGTGCACACAGCAAAACATGCTGTCCGAGTCACCATGATGTGGACCTTTTAAGCTATACCACCACCCCCATTTCACTGAGTTCAGAGAGGGCGAACGCTTAATCTACACTTCTAGATGCACACATACGACACTGGGAAATGCATGCACACACCACACCTGTGTGCACATAATGCAATGCATCTGTGTGCGCACGCGCGTGTGTGTGTGTGTCATGTTCGCTGTACACAACTCCACAGAACAAGCATGACTGTGACAGACTGTTTCGCTCGACTTTGCATGTGTGTGTGTGTGTGTGTGTGTGTGTGTGTGAGAGAGAGAGAGAGAGAGAGAGAGAGATTTCTGTGTATTCACAGGGCCTCCCTTGCGAAGAACGTTATCCAATGTGAAGTCAAAATAGAGGATTTAATGTACCCTTCTCTCTGTTTTTGCCCTCCCTTAAAGAAACTGGCCCCCCTTCCTTTTCTGTCCCCTTTTCTCTGCTTTCCTTCCTTACCTCCTTCCTACCTTCCTTCCTTCCTTCCTTCCTCTTTGCTTGAAGCTCCGTTGCCAGGGTTCTTCTTCAGGATCAGCAGATCCAGAATCCATCATCCCAACATTTACCTGCGCTCATGTCCATTGTAACCGTTGACCTGCTCCCTTGTCCACGAAGGTGGGTCCTATTTCTTCTTTGTTCATTTCTAATCAAACGATGGCTCCTCGCACACATTTCAAGCAGTATCACACAGCTGGATGTAAACAATTGTGGTTACAAAGGGGCTGTCAAAGGGTGCTTGCTAGCAATTCACAAGCACCAAGGGAGCCATGCCGCGAGCGACCGTCACATAATCGACGTAATCCTTGTAGTTGAGAGTATACAGCGAGCTCTGGTAACGGGTTATCCGCAGCTTCCTCCTCAGTGAGTCTGTAATTGGACCCATGTACCCAGCCTTCCGGACGAGGGAATCGATCGTCTCCAGCTTCGTCCAACCTGCAGACAGGAAAAGTTGACACAGATTTAGCCCCCCGTCTCTTCTCCTCGGTCTTCACCCTATCAGGCTACCACCACATAAAGCTGGATCCAAAAGGCCTTACCAGTGCAATCCAAATGCTTCCCATCGAACAGCAACCAAATCACCTATGCACAAGCTTAGTTATAATGGATGGCCCGACCATACATTTTGAAGTATCCATATTTGGGCACCCAACTCACTCTTTGTGCGGTTCTTAAAACCAACCAACTTAGACGCGTTGACGTCAGTCAGAGTAGCCACAAGATACATGTGTTCTCCATCTTATTGCCCCTTCATGTTAATGTTTGCAAAGACTATATCATCAACAATGGGCCTCGCTCCCTTACTCACCACATACACAAAGGACAACAAATATATGGCAGTGCCCCTTTCCATTTTCTAGCAAGCAAGGCCCTATGTCTGCCTCCACGGACAATTTTGCTCTCTCTTTCTTTTCCCCCAGCCCTCTATTGCATTGTCACCGATTCTCACCAAACACACTCAAACTTCTCCAGCACCTGAGCAAATTGGTGAGATTAATTTGTAGGGGGGATTCTCAAGCTGCTGTCAGAGAGGCAGCTCCATTTCATAGGTCTCATTCAATGATCATCCTTTCTTTCTTGCAGGGACAGCACGCGCGCGAGCGAGCGAGCGAGCGAGAGAGAGAGAGAGAGAGAGAGAGAGAGAGAGAGAGAGAGAGAGAAGGGTGGGAGAGTGGAGGGGGAGGGGTGTAACGAGCGTGAGGCTGAGGGTGAGCCGAGGGAGAGGAGAGAGAGGGAGAGAGTGAGAGCACACACACACACTCACTCACTCGACACGACGGACTCGGACTGAGGATCGGACGCAGACACAGTGGCAAGGCACAAAGTCGAAGTNCTTGGATTCCCGAATGCCGAAAACAGCAAGTCACACTGAGTACGAGTACAGCAGTAGAGAACTGGTACGAGACTGGTCCCCGTACCGTACGGGGAGCCGGTATAAGTACCGGTGACACGTACGGTACCAGGGCATTTCTGCAAAGGCCCCGAGGGCAGAACTGAAAAATGCAGTATTTGAAAGTGGTGCCCGAATTGCAGCATGGCGCCAGTTGCCCAAAATCCTACGGTACCAAAGGAGGGGTTTGGAAAAAGGGTGCCAGGCCGAAAACGGGATGCAGCCGAAACAGCAAAAGATAGACCAGGGATCAAGCCCTGGCGAAGTCCGTAACACTAGCCCCTCCCTCTAGAAGGCAACCTCCCGGCTGCCAAAAATCATGAAGCAATGCTGAAATCTGTGAAGGACGGGACGGGGCCGATCACTGGTTAACAAGTCGAAAGGGAAGACGGGTATAATGTGGGTGGCATGGGCTGCGGGAGTAAGAGGGAACAGGGTTTGGTACCGGTGAACAGAGTTGTCCTACTGATGAACTAGGGGGACTGCATGGTTCGCTAGAGGTTTAAGGGGGAACAGAGTTCAGGGAACAGGGAACTTCTATTGATGTTCTACTGGGTAAGGGAAACGGTGTTCAGGAAAACAGGGTATGTCTATTGATGTTGTATTGGGTAAGTGAAACAATGGTCAGGGGAACAGGGGATGTCTATTAATGTTCTAGCGGGTACGGGGAACAATGGTTAGGGAAACAGGGATCTGCTAATGATGTTATACAGGGTTGTCAAAGTCAGGAAAAAAAAAAATGAAAATGTTTGTTCAGGATGCGAAGGCTGGTGTGTCCGAAGGAGTCGGAAGCAGAATCTCATGTAGGAACAAAGTGTCCAAGTGTCTTGAAAGGGGGTCTGCAGCGGTCTTGATCAGGTCTTTGGAGTAGGTGGTAGAAGCGGTCTTCAGCAGCTGCGATAGGTAGAAGTCCAAGAAGCGTAGTAGTAGTTCAAGTGTCAAAGTCCAAGTGCTAGGGTGCGTCCGGTAGACGAACTGCAATGAGGTCTGATCTGGAAGCAAGGAAGTCGCAGACTGATGCAAAGATCCATGTCACAAGTTGCTGCTCCAGTAAGTCCGCGAGTCGGGATGCCGGCCAACGAGGGGGGCGGTGGTCGGGGGGGGATCGCGACAGCGAGAGAGGAGAAGAAGAAGAAGAAGAAGAAGAAGAAGAAGAAGAAGAAGAAGAAGAAAATTTAAAGAAGAAGAAAAAAAAAAGGAAGAAGAAGAAGAGAAACGAGGAAGAAAGATAAGAAGGAAAAAAAATAATAAAAAAAAATAAAATTGTCGTTGATTACGTATCTGCGCGACGGCGATGACAAGGACGCGCGGCGCAGCGACGAGGACGACAGGCATGGTGGTGATGACGTGACGCGACGGCGGCCATCCCGTCCGTGATGATGATGACGGGGCACAATAACGACGATCACGATGATGACGATGATGATGTGGCACGGCGGCGACGATCTCGACGATGATGTTGATGATGGCCAGGTGACGACGTCGAAGCAGGGTGGGTCGGGCGGGTTCGAACCGCTCCGATACCAGTGTAACGAGCGTGAGGCTGAGGGTGAGCCGAGGGAGAGGAGAGAGAGGGATAGAGTGAGAGCACACACACACACTCACTCACTCGACACGACGGACTCGGACTGAGGATCGGACGCAGACACAGTGGCAAGGCACAAAGTCGAAGTCTTGGATTCCCGAATGCCGAAAACAGCAAGTCACACTGAGTACGAGTACAGCAGTAGAGAACTGGTACGAGACTGGTCCCCGTACCGTACGGGGATAAGTACCGGTGACACGTACGGTACCAGGGGCATTTCTGCAAAGGCCCCGAGGGCAGAACTGAAAAATGCAGTATTTGAAAGTGGCGCCCGAATTGCAGCATGGCGCCAGTTGTCCAAAATCCTACGGTACCAAAGGAGGGGTTTGGAAAAAGGGTGCCAGGCCAAAAACGGGATGCAGCCGAAACAGCAAAAGATAGACCAGGGATCGAGCCCTGGCGAAGTATACAAAGAATGCTTCCAGTTTCAGAGGCTCACAAGGAAAACAGCATCAAGCACACACTTGTCTTTCTGCCAGACTTCGAGACAGTTGAGTGAGCATATCGCCATGATGAGAACCTATGCACAGCTCATCAACCTCTCAGGTATTGGCCAAGCAGTCTCACAGCAGTCCTGTGAGACAACGAAACTGGGATGCTTAGTATAGATGCACTCATTGCCAGCATGTCAACAATGCCAAGTGAAAAGTCAAGAAACCTCACCTTCTTGCTCTGCAACCTCGGGAAGATATGTTGCACTTCGGCGCGAGTTGTGTGGATCAGTGAACTCCAATATCATCCCATGTTTACCAACCTTCACCACAAGCACACACACAGGAAGACAACACACATACCAAGTGATTTCCTCAGAACCTTTTGCTTCTGATGTTCACTGCTAGAGCGAAATGGAAACAGCTTGCATTCCTACATGCCCTTTCACCTCCCCTACAATGAACCATTAGCAGAACCAACCCCCTGCAGTTCAAGGTTCATTGCTTGGCCAACCTGGTGTTCAGCTGTTTAACATAATATGGACAAACTACGAATACCCGACACTCGCATCACAGGCTTTTCTGTAGGGTACACTTCAGGTGAGGCCTCCGAGATACTGGTGGCTTACCCATAACAATAACCAATACCCACTGCACTTTCACGACTCCTTTGGTTGTGCTGTGTAGGGTACACTGCAGCCTATACTTTGGGAAAGAGGAGGTCACCAGTTTAAACAGTGTACCCTATAGGGTGACCTCCTCTCGCCTGTCATCCTTTCGTAGAGGAACAATTGCTACACGGAGGCAGGGGAAAGGGAATAACAGATACGCAATAGGAGAGAAAGAACTGATGTTGCAATGTTGCATGTGTTTCTTTTACGACGCTGTTGCTCGAAAAGACCCTTCATGTTCCGTTTTTGCCGGTCAGTGACGCAGGTCAGCCCCGCTCAGGTTAGCAGAGGGGAAATGACTGTGTCCAACCGACTCCAACCACATCTATCCGGTGTTAATCTGCTTGAGACACGATAACAAACACTTCCCTATCAAGACAAGCCCGCCGGGTGCTCCTTTGCTCATAGCAAGAGAAGAGTCTCACAGAACAGCAGACTCAGGGCATCCTGGACGTATATCACCTCTTTTCCAACCTGGCCAGGATGCACCTAACCGCAACTACGTCCAGAGAAGTGGAAAAAGTCCTAATGTGAGCTCTGCTGGCACGTCTCCAGCATTCTCTTCTGACTCGGTTCCTTCAAAAAGAAAACAGGAACTGAAACGCAGATGGTGCACCTCCACTCTCCAGGCAAACCTCTGAGCATTTCCAGTTCGCAACAAAATATAAGGACTTCACCAAATGAGCCTTCCAGTGGCAAGGCAAAAAATCCTCCGAAGAATTTCTTATTCCTGCCTATCCTGCCCCTAGTGTGTATTCCTAGAGGTTGGCCTCAAGAATATAGCACACAGACAAGATTCCCGCTGTCCCATCCTGTGAACCAACAGCTAAGGGAACAGAAAAAAAAGTAGGAAAACCATTCAGAGAAAATACTGAAGTACACATCCACAAGTACAATCACTGAAATACAGTAGCGCATGAATAACCATTCAGAGAAAATACTGAAATACAATCCAGAAGTACAATCCCTGAAGTACAGTAGCGCATGAATAACCTTTCAGAGAAAATACTGAAGTACAATCCAGAAGTACAATCCCTGAAGTACAGTAGCGCATGAATAAAGTGATCCCCCATTTTTGTGAAAAGTAGATCACATTTGGCAGGGCTTCCATCTTTCAATTAACCCACTTGGACGGGCCCAGCCCAGTCGCATACCGGGCCTCGTTTCTGGCAGTTCAGTCAGGGCTGGGCTTCTCTCCTCAGGACTTTGGGAAAGAGGAGGTCACCAGTCTAAACCACCAATGGCCGCGAATTCACTGCTCCAACCAAAGGGCACCACCGACGCAGGAGTTTTCCATGAACCACAGTTCAGACCCAGTTGTCATTTGCGGTGGACACACAGTCGGCAAGACGTCAACCACATTCATGGTAGTTTGTTGGCCCCTGCATATGCCAGCATGGTGCCAGGGAGGTTTCATGGACACCTGGATCTTTGACCGATCTTTGCACGAGAGTTCCCAAATCCAGTTGGTCGGTGGCCAACATTATCTTGTTGGGTTGGCTTGCGAAAGGGTTGGGTTTTGTCAACATGCTGAGCACAGTCCTCAGGTGAGGGCTGTTGGGAACAAAGCGAAAAAGCTTTGCTATGTGGCTGATTAGGCCAATGGGACTTAAAAATTGTACGGACTCAGAGAATATTTGACACACATACACCTAGATTCCAAAAAAGCAGAGCTGTTATATGTGGAGAAAAATTAGCACCTTTGTTTTCTTTATACTTACTTTCCCCCAGGAAAGGAGAAGAAATAGAGAAAACCTTTGTTTTCTTTATACTGCGAGGATCAGGGTCCTAGGTAGGCCTAAGGGGCCCTGTTTGCAGCATTGCCCGCCCTAAGTGAAGGCGGAGGTGCCCGCCCTAAGTGAAGACGGGCCTAACATATCGCAAGAGGCCCTCGACTGTCAATTTCATATGTGGGGTCCAGGCAGTTGCGACGTGCCAGTTGGTTGAAAGAAACTCAGGCCGGGCAACAAAGACATTTCCACGGCCCTCCGGGCTTTTCCAAAGAATGCAGGCCCTGGGCGTGATTCGCAGCCTCATACAGAGACAGTTGGGCGCCCAACCGAATGAGGCCCAGCAGCCCAGTAGCTGCTGTACACAGGCAGCCTCCTGGGGCCTTCCGGAAGCTTCCGCGCCCAGGCCAGTCCAGCCAGGCTGCACGAGCAGGCCGGCTCTTTCCATATAGGGAAGAGCTCTCCTCTTGCGAGGGCATTCGGTCACTTGCTGGCTGGCGGCAACGCTGCTGGAGCGATAGCTCGCGGGCTGGCTGCTGGCATTGGGAGCAAGAGGCAGCGCACGTGCGGTTGTGTGGTGAAGCAGGGTGCTGCTGAGGGAAGCGCCATAGCCAGCCTACATAGCAGGCTGGGCTTGGATGACAGTGAGGCGCAAAGGTGGTCTTCGGGTGTAAGAGAGGACAGACGTGGGAGTAAAGTCAGGGGATAGGTGAAGGATGATGATGATGATGATGTGACGGCACTTACCTTGTATTGGCGATGGTCTGCATGGGCGACATCTTCAAGTACTTCGGGTTGCTGCTGATGTTAACAGTTGCATTGTCAATTAGTAGGCTGTAGTAGCTGTGTGAGGAGTAGGCTGGGCGCTGAGCGCTAAGTAGGAGAGTGAAGGGACTGGACTCTTGTGTTGATGAGGAGAGAGTATGCTCTCCATGACATTGGTTTTCAGTACTATGAACCTCCATTGGTGTATTATTGGTGCAATGCTGCTCTCTGGACACGGTGTAACCATCTGGCTTTCAATGTGATGGTGTAATCTGGAATTGTCATCTCGCTGTTGCTGATTTTCCTTGCAATTTGGTATCCGAGCAGGTTCATATTGCGCTTCATTGGTTCTTCGCAATAGCTATTGGTGCTTCGCATGAGGTGTGGGGCAGTGACAAGGCATTGGCATTGAACATTAGTCGGCCCAGGGTAGTGTGGGCGTGCCAGGGAGCTATGTGGTGACATACGGGGTGTATGCTGGATGATGAGAGCTCGCTGATGTGACATATTAAGCCGAGGTGGAACTGCATTCTGCTGTTGGTTGCGCCGAGGCAAAGACCGGTCATCATAAATGCACATCAGGTTGCCGGTGAGAAATCTGTGGTTGGGGGCAGCATTACGAGGTACGTTGCTCTCTTCCTTTTCTACCCTCTTCATTGCTTCTTACCGTGAGGAAGTGAGTTCTGTCTTGAGAGTCCTCTCGATGTGAGGTGTCGCGAGCACTCAACCTTGAGAGTCGACATTCTTCCTGGGCAGCAAGCTGGTGAGAGACGGGCGAAGCCTCTGAAGGGCCCTGGACGAAGCACTCGGGTCACGGTCACCATGCCAACCTGCTGGGATTAGTACACACATGCTTGGCAGCAAGTCCTTGGTTCCGCTGCTTGCGCAATAGAGGTCGTGCAGGGCATGCCAGCCCTTTGGGACAGACGCTTACCAGACCGTCTTTAAATATTTCTGGCAGGGACTCGGTGTTGACTCTGGCTGTGATCGTCGTCCTGTCTGCGACGTCAAATAATTCCTGAGGAGTTACGGGGGATCTCCTTAAATGCCTCCTGATCAGCCAGATCAAACCGGGTGTAAGGCTCGTTGCATGTGAGGGTAAATAATGTCCAGGGGCTGGCAAGTTCGGCAATGACTTGAGGCACAGGGGTGGGCCGGATTGCAAACCTTTAGACACGCTGCTCAACCAGATGCTCAGGACGTTGACACAAAGCGACCAATCAAGAAGGACACAGGGGGAGGGGGGATCCGGTAACTGTTCGCAGTGGCAATCAACAGATAATCTGCCATCAAGCATACATCTCCAACAGGAGATATTATTTTTATTTTGATTATCTAGTTGTTACAGACTTGACTAACAACTGACAGACAGCTGCAGACAGATTAGATCTTTGCTGTATTGCAATCTGTTCAAGGGTAACCTAAAAATAGATCTGATATTTCCTGTAGGATCTGACATTAGTTGTAACCACATCATCTAACTGTTTTGTTCAGGCTGTGACCGAAAACAGTTATGTATCATATGCGGTTGTGTGTCATGCTAAGGTAGGATTCAGTGTGGATTCTAGTTTAGATCACACACACTGTAGCTCATGAGTGAAGACAGCAGTGAGGAGGAAGGAAGGCTAGTGCAACCACTTAGGATCACACGGAGAACCGCTCTTAGTCAACCAATCACTTTCCAAGAGTTAGCTCCTGGGGAGGAAAGGAGACTACGAAGGGAAGCAAGGGAGAGGGTAGCAGCGAGGAGGATTAGGGACGCMGCAGCCAGCTTAGCGGCTGCGATGGCTACCGCCGCCTCTACGTCACAAACCTCTTCCCTGTCTTCTTCGTCAGGAGCAGGGCAAGGTGGATCGGGTGCAGTTAGTCAGTCTGCTTGTTTGCAAGTCAGCCAGCAGAGTCCACTCACACCGGAGGATTTAGAAATCCGACAGGCAAAAAAACTTCAGGATGAGCTGCAGCAGCAGTTGGACGAAGCAGCAGAGAGGAGAAGAAGAGCAATACTCAAAAAGGCTAGACTAGGAAGTAGAGTGCAGGAGCTAGGCAGACTGGAAGGGCTAGATGAGGCGGCATTAGACCCTGCTGCCCGTGTGTTGCATAGTGCTTTACTATCAGTGGCAGAAGCGCAGAATGTCCAGCAGGAATTGGTGACCGAAT